ATTAGAAAAAAATTATATTCAACCTGCAATGATGAGATTTATTCGCACTGAAGTGCATTAAGACATTCATATTAGTAATAATTTTTAAATTAATTTTAGGTGGTGAATGTTTCACATCTTTAAGCTGAAATATAATAGAGTTATTACAAAAAATAAAAAGCTACAAGTGCAGCCTATAAGTGCGCTGTAAATCAATGTTCTCTGTCATGGAATGCCCGAAAACATTGATTTACAGGAGACCAAACAGAAAATGTTTACATTTTTTTTTCCTTTTTTTTGTTATTGGAATGATAGTTTAAGTTTATTTAATTCCTAGTGTTATGGCCATGACATCAAAATGGTGGTAAAAATCAAATATTTGTGTCCAATCTCGATATACACTTCATAACTATTATATTTCTTGATTGTGTTCATAGGCGACTTTAAATATTTTATTGACGACTTAAACGTATTAAACGATAATTTTTGTACTATATTTGTATTTATCTCCAATAATTACATGTTATTACAAAGACTATTATAAATAACTGTAAACAATAGAATAATAAAACCACTTTTTACTAAGCTTTAACATGCAGTCTTTTTTATTAACGAATAACGAAACAGTCAGAGAAAAATTCAATTATGTAAAATTAAAAGTTGAAAAATTTCATAGTTGAAACAAAGTATAATGCACTTTGGTTCAACAGATAAGCAGATTTTCAGGAGAACACTTTGTCGTATGGCAATAAAATTGACTTGGTGCCGGACAGACAAAAGTGATCGTCGCATTTGTTGGGCACAGAAGTCACAATCCTCGTAGAGCAATTACGTCAGGAAGCGCGACAATTCAGTTAGGAAGCTTTGACTCTACTGTAAATGTAAACGAAGTCATGGGCCCGTATTTTTTACATATGAAGAGACTCTCCTTACATTTTTAAATTCCTTGTCGCAATTAATGGAAAATAGCAAAGTGTCGGCAAAAGATGACCATCAGATTTCGCGAACGAACTAAATTCTATAAGCTTAGAGAAGACGTGCTAGCGACCTAAACACATCGCCGGACACAGTCGTGCGATTCTTGCGATATCGCTTTGTCTCGTCCCCTACTACAACCTTGTGTGAGAATACGGACGAGGGTCCAGGCCCTCTAATCGTCAGATCTGTTAGACCTGCTCACCTTATCACTTGATGGCTTAATTTTTTTCAGAACCCGAGTGGTAAGATTCTGTGTGGGGTTGTGCATAAGAACAAATACCAAACTACGAAGTTTATATAATATAAAATCAACAATTTAATTATAGAAGAATAAAATAACAAGTATAGATAATAGATTAACAACATATAAAACATAGGGTTACTCTAAGACTAGGGAGGTCCCTTTTATATAGAAGTCGACAATTTAATCAGAATTAACAATAATAATAGCAAATAATAAAAATACAGATGTAAAACATGGAAAATACAAAACTTATATCCTATCGCGAGAGTAGGGTCTATCTGTTCAACCGAGAGAGAGAGTTCACAATAAATCATATTACCTCGCTGTCCAGGTTGGGTGTCTTTAGTTCGGGGATTATCTTCCGGTTACAGAGAGGCTGAAGAACCAGGGTCGGAGAGAGATCACTCTCTATGGCATGTTCGACTTCTATTGAACTGCCGTATGGCAAGATTCTGGCGAACTGCCTCTGTATGGCTAGCTGAAATTGAACTGCCCCGAATCTAGCTACCTCGGCCTTTTTATTCCCGATTATTTCATAATAATAATTCTTAGAAATGAGTTATGACATTTGAGCAGGTGGTGTGCAAAATTCTAAGATACAAGGCGTGGAGGAAGGATACAAAACATCCTCATTTCTGGTTAAACTGCTGAGTAATATAGCAGTTTTGCAGGATGTAAAAGTTTTATAACCTTATTACGTTATGTTTTATTAATTCTTCCAAATTTTATCATTTTTTTATATTTCTAAGTGAAATTAAAGTAATTTATTTAATTAAGGTTGTTTAAGGTAAAATTATGTAACTCTTTTTAAGAGTACCTCCGGATTATCACACTTGTATTACGAAAAACCGCCCACTTCCGAATAAAATTAATTGCGAAGTATTCTTTTGGCAATAAATAATTTCAAAAACAAAAAAATAAAGCAGTGTTTAATCTCATTACTTTCATATTTTTATATTATTTTATATTAAATATCAATATAAAAGCTTGACGTAGATATAAAATTTTTTCTGTTTTATATAACGACCAAAACTTACTCTGTACATAGAAACACTTCGATCGTCATTGACGTTCCATAAACTAAATCGATATTTATTGTCAAGTATAAACTGCATTTAGAGATATCAAATAAAATCTAAAAAGATAATATCACACACAATTTCCATTATAAGTAAACTTTAGTCCGAAATGTTACGCTACTCTTTTCTGGAGTTTTATTTATGAAAAACAAAAATTTGGTCTGCGTTGTCGTCATAAATCAGCGAAAAAATTCAAAAATGTAAAACACAGAGGGAGGTTTCCTGACGAGGTCCCTTTCATCGTAAGGCCAAATGCAGTTGTCTGTTTTGTTTCGTTGAAAATTCGTCACTGTTGCATGATTGAAAGCAAACTTTATGTAACTTGCAAGTAAAAGCAACAAGTTTCACTCTCAATATGTAGCCTATTTGTGACAGGACTCTGAAAACTCTTTACTTGTCAGAACCTGTAATATCTAAAATAATTGTGCTTATGCTGTCATCATTTTCAACCATGTCCAGTAGCTTCAATAACTGCATTTTGCCGGGTTGGGCAAATTGGGCAAGGATACAAATGAGTACAAAGAATGCAAGTATGAAGTTTTTCTTCATAAACCTGATTATTAAAACCAAACGAACTGCCAAATTATCGGGCTGTAAGTTCGATGCCGCTATTAAAGCAGCCGAGATGGACAAATCAAAAATACTACACGGCAAAAGATATACTGTAATGCATCTCAAAAACGAATTAGAAATCTTCCAGGCTTCGGTTGAAAAACACATAACATTCGTCTTCTTTTAAACGCATTAAAAATTCATTTGCTTGTTTGGTTGATCCTTGCGTCCATAGAGTCATCTGGCAAAGCCGACATTGAAGAACTTAAATTTTCTGCATATGAAATCCTAGATGAACTTAAGGGATATTTTAGTGACATTGGATCTGGAAAGCTATGCTCAGAATAGCATCAAGACTACATCATCTCTATTGTCCAGCGAATATTCGACTTATTCGACAATGCTCTTACTGACATGAAATTTGCCAAGCTCGAGGAGAAGATTGACATTCTGCTCGCCTGTGAAGAGAAAAACTCGCTTTTGGAGAGCCAGCAGATTATTCTCTCCAAAATCTCTGTCATAGAGGCCCGGACTGACAGGCCTACCCAGCTGTCGTACAGACACACTCTTGTCTCGGACTCTACAACCATTCACCCACCTAAGCCGAAGCCGCATAGCAGCAATGTTCTTCTGGTATACAATTTCACAGAGGATAAAAACAGCGACAAAACGAAGAACATGCTCTGCAAGCATATCAAGCCTTCTCAAATAGGCATAGGTGTCAACAGAATCAGGAAGGTGAATAACGAGGGTATTGCTATTGAGCTCACTAAGAAAGAAGATAATAATACTTTCATTACAGCCATTCAAAAATCTATACCTTGGCTAATCATCCGAACACATGAAAAAAGCGCCTTCCTACCCTCATCCTAGTTTCCGTTCCAAATAATTACAAGCCTGAAGAACTTAAAGAACTAATATATATTAAAATGAATGTATAAACACTGTCTACAATAAGGAAAAATTTACAGAAGAACTGCAGTTTAAATTCCAGACCGGGAGAAAAAATAAAAATTTCACTAACTGGGTCTTAGAAGCTTCATTCACTCTCAGAAAACTTATTCTAAAAGCTGGAAAACTGAATGTCGACTGGTCCAGATGTAGAATACAAAACTTCCATCCAGTTAACATATGCTATAAATGCTGCAGATACAGACATAGCGCCAAAATCTGCAAGCAACAGGAATCCACCTGCAGCCAATGCACTGGCAATCATACCTATCAGGACTGCCCTAATATAAACAAGCAACCAACTTGCAGGGTTACTCCTGGATAGATGTTACCACCAGCACCAAAAACTGCTGCAACCTGATAAACAACTGAACAGTTCAAGAAGAAGATTCCCTCAGTGACCATGCCTACATAAACTTCCAGATCAACCACCATTCCTTTAACTACCTTTCCATTCCTCTCAGGTTTCAGACCTCCAGGGCCAACTGAAACATTTTTGCCAACTACATATCCAATTACAACATTTCCCTTGATGCTTTAGAAACCTGGCAACTGGATTGGGACGAGATCCCACAACAACACATAACAAGACATTTTATCCCAAAGATCAAGGAACGCTTTCACAGCAAATGGATTCAAAACACACATCATTTAGCCCAATTTTTGACAGAACACAGACGCTTTCGTGTTTATCTGAAAAGGTTTCACCACTGTAATTTTGACTGCTGTCAGCTGTGTGAATGCGGGACGGTGTCATTCACTATTTATACTAACTGTCCTATGCTGGATGATATCAGGTATCAGTGCTTGCAGCATGCCAATATGAACAATATAGACTGGCCAGTAGAGCCTGATTTTTTCTTACAAAACAACAACAATTTTAACTTGTTAAAGGAATTTGTTTCACTCTAGTCTATTAGATGTGGGATCCGTTGACATGATCTGTGATCTGATTCACTCTAGCCTTGATGCCGATGTGAGGATCCGAATTCGGATGTGTTTATATCATCTCATCATAATATCACATCGTAGTCCTACCTTCATTCCACGGTGTCATAAGATCACAGTACAGCTATACTTTTGTTCAATAACTGTCAACTTTTACACCTGGGAGCTAAACATCTGCTAAGTTCTCAGGCGTAATAACGACGCTTTCTCAGCACCTTTCGACCTAATATCTTCGTTTCAACAATCCAACATGAAAAACCAACAACCAAATGAATCAGTCGTCCCCAGTTCCTCGTTCGGACCACTCAAGTTACCCCTGTGCCTCGCCTTTGGATATTTCTTCGCCCTTGGATATTTCTTTGCCTTTGGATATTTCCACGCCTAAGAACTGTGTCTTCTGTTTTCTGAGTCCGGAACTGTCTTCTTTTAAGAGTTCATACAAGGTAACTATCGACACGCGAACTTCTGTAAACTCTCTCTCTCAAAACGGGAAGAAACGTAATATCTTAATATCTTAATATCTAAATACTATTATATACTAAAGCGAGCAATGTATCTAATAGCAGCCCTAATGTATATCCTATCGTTAACCATTAAACAGTTGTTACGTTAAAAAAGCGTCTGAGTAAATCACTTCCGGTGCGCTGTCTCTCCT